CAAGCATTATAGACACACCACAAGAGAGAAAAGAGAGAGGGTGAGGAGAGAATAATCCCACAAAATTATGAGGTATTTGTGAGATAGTAAGTGAGGTGTTTTCTCCTAATAATAGAGAGATTTTTGTTGTTCTCCTATTATTAGAGAGAAGTTGTATTCCCACATTACTTAGTAAAATCCTTCTATACTTGCCCGTGGATGTAGCCAAATTGGGTGAACCACGTAAATTCTTGTGTGTCATTTCTCATTTTAACTTATCCCTTATCTTTTGTCTTGTCGGGTTTGCATGCTAGTATCCTAACATAATTATTGGCTGACAAATTAAGGAAATCTCCCTCTTCATGCGCCATTTACAAGCACCTTACTAAATGTTCACACTGAACCTTGGTTTTCAATTCGCTTTTTGATCATAAAGATTTTTGGTTTGTTTGAAGAATATATAAGAACAGCACATGGCTACACATGGGTAGTTGGCCTTGAACAACGTAAGGCCAATTCGATAGCTTAAGGTTCCATGCTTTCATGATGAAAAAGAGCAAGGAAAGGAGTTAAAACATGAATCTTGGGAATTGAACTTGCCTGGAAATTAAGCACATGAAGACCCCTCTATGTTGTATATTGAAGATAGAGGGTTTTATACATTGCTATGTACTGTCTAGTTCCAACGGTCTTATAGGAAGTAACCCGCCTTCAGTTTTAGATTTCCACTCTTTCCAAGGTCTAAAACCAAAACCGTTAAACAGAAATCTCAAGTCATAATTGTAATATCATTGAAATGAACTAAAAATCCTTTAATGCCATGGATGACTTTGTGAATATTATTCATATTACGATTTTAATGATATATATACTCTCTAACAATGTCTGAGTCCAAGTAAAGAGGATAAAGGCATTCGATGTTACCAATGAAATTAATTCGAAGACATCAAGCAAGATTTTTCACTGACTTTGGAAAGAACGGATTTCTGGCATTCTGTTTTTTAATGAGGATATTTTTTGTTTAAGAAGTGGCCACCTAGTATTATGGTTGCTAGGAACCCTAACTGGTCAATAGAGATTTTATAGTCCGAGACTAGTTACGTAAAAGGAAAGATATTATCACCCCTTAAATATCCTACCTAAAGGAGGCTGCATTGCTGATCTTTGTCCTTAATTGCTAATATTTTTTTTTGTTGGTTTATACTATGATTGTTTGTGTGTAATATTCCTGGTGAGATTTGTTGGTGATTTGGCTTGGCTTTCTCCTTGAAATAATAGGCAAGTAAATGGAGTGAGGATTAAAGACGAGTACTGGAGTAGACTCCAAGCTTTGTACACTTGCTCATCAAATTTATTCTCTCTTTGTCTATTAAATATTTTGACCATTATAAATGGGTGAGAAGATGAGTAGTTTGGGGGCGTGAAAAAACACAAGGACTGAGAGAGAAGGCGTACAAGGGCTTTTGAGATTGAGTTTTGAGCATAAAAATTGCAATTATATTCTTAAACTGATTTTTCTTGTAGGAAAGAAGGTTACTCTCGGATTGTGATGCAAAAAAATTTTGCCAGACTAAATTTTGCGTGTTGAGTTTGGTACCAAATTTCCCATCAAATACTTTCCCAGTAAAGACGCCGATGGGCGATGGGAGTAGTGCATGATCAGCAGATTCGGCTGTTTCTTTTCTCAGAGGGAGGACCCATGGCTAGAAGGGTTCACATGGCTTAGCTCAAGGTTGATGATTCAATGTCAAATGCATTAAAAGAAACAGCCGTACACCACCAAGTCAAGGCAACATATTCATAAAAGATTGGCTAATGGTAGGCCCCCTAATCAAATATTCACGTGGGTCTTTTCTATTGTTTTTAATCATTGAGAATATCTTTAAAAAGTAATAAATTAAAAGTCAAAGCCAAATAAATAATAAAAAGGTAGAGCAAAATAAATATGCTATAACAAAAATAAAAAAAATTATTAAAATGTTTTTTTTACACTATAATTTGATATCATTAAAAAATCTCAAGAAGTTATTTCCTATACAAATAAAGTTTAAATCCATAATAAAAAATAAAAAAATAATTAGATAAAAAACAATCAAATAAATATATAATACAATTCTCAAAAACAATATTATTTCTCAACAACGACTAAATACCTCGAATATTCATATGGCTTTCCTCAGGCTTGGAGATAGGACTCGGTAATCTATTTGCAAATATTTGTAAAATCCGTACATGGATAGCATCATACATCATATATACTTGTAAAATCATTAAATCGATCATTGAATTCAAATCAATTATTAAGATATCTAATTAAATGCCAAGGAATTGTCATGAATCACTAGAGACAACTTAGTGAATTAATAAGGAGGATATGAAATAAGTAGTGAAGGAATATAAGGTATTTGTATAAACCCACATGAAAGGTATAATTGGAACATATCCCAGACCGGGGAATAATATATATAGTCGTGCTCGTGCCTCTTATTGTAATCATTAATAATTTGTCACTGTTAATAATTACTCTATTTAGGATTTATCACCTGTGTGTTGTCCGATTAATTGTTTTCATAGTCACCCGTAATATTCATCATTGGTTACACAGTGCACTTCATTTTGTGTGAAATCCTGCTGTCTTTTAAAAATTACTTTCAAATTTTTTTTGTTTATTTGTTAATAAAAAAATTAATTAATAAAAAATATTTTTTAGTTAAAAAAATTGCAACTTGATTTAAAAAAAAAATATTTTTTGTAGAAAATATTTTTCAAAAGATTTGAAAAACTTAGAAATAATATATTATTTGTTGATTATATTAAATTTATTATTTAATTTTTTTAATTATTATTTGCTTTTCTCTTTATCTTTTTTTATTCAAGTTTTTTTTATTTATCAGATTTGATAGTTATTCTTTTAATTGTTATTTATTTTATTTGAAATCATTTATCAAATTATAATTAATATTTTTTTAATTTCTTCTATTTTTTAACTTTTTTATATGTCAAATTTGATCTTTATTATTTTGATTATTATTTATTTTATTTGAGATAATTGATGAAATAAGATTTTTTTTAATTTCATTTTCATTCAATTTTTTAATTTATAAAATTTATTTCTCATTCTTTTAATAGACTTGAAAAAAATAAAAAATTAATAAGTTATTTTTTAACTTATTTTTATGATATAACTAAATATTAAAAAGTGTTTCTCAATTTATTTTTCATGACATTATCAAACATTGAAAAATAATTCACATTCCTGAAATATATTAAAAAAAAAACTATTTTTCAAGGACTTAAAGTGTTGGTTAAATAGGAGTCCTCCATGTAAATTTTAACAATAATTAAGATAAAAAAATAGAATTCACAAAAATGGAGAATTATCGAGCTAGGATCTTGATTTTCATTGATGATCAATCACGAAGACATCCCTTAAATACTTCTATACACAGATCAATACAACTATTCTACTAGAAAAATAAATACATCAACAAAGATAAAATTGGAAAAGATTGCTCTCTTCTTCCTTTTGAATTCATGATGAGGCTTGCAATCTAGAGGCAAGCTTGATGAAGGCATCTTCTCTGCATGGAATCGTAAGACCTCCCATTGGAGGATTGAAGCCAAACTCTTCCTCAGCTAGGTTAAGCAAATCTTGAAATAAAGGATGGCTCAAGTATGATATTGGCACCACAAACCTCCTCTTTTGCATTTCTCCAACATATACAGCTACATGTCCTTTGGGTACATCAGGCTGATTTCTACCATGAAGAGACTTCCCTTTGATTACATGTTTGACACTGCTAATCATGGATGGTAAACGAATACCCATGTTTGATTTTAAGCTTGAGTGAGGAATCCTAGAGAATGATTTGAAATCGGTTTCTGTGGTGAAAGTTATGCAGGTCTTGTGGAGTAAGAAGGCTGGTTTTGAGTCTGTATTTTATAGGTTGTTTGAGGAGTGAACTGCCATACTTTTCCAGTGGAGACTCAGCTGGGTGCATGTTCAGGTTTTGGCTGTTTCGCTATTTTGGGTGTTATAGGAGGACCCATTGCAACAAAGGCTCACATGGCTTTGCTAAAGGCTATCAAATTGCTTATAAAACAGGGGGCCGTACACTGGGAAGCCAAGGGCAACATTTTCAAGTTGTCAAAAAAGATTGGCTAATGAACAGTGTTATGATAAGATCATAAGAGATTCAAAGGCTCTTCCTCAGGTCTTGTACAGGAATTTGTGGAGTAGTTTATATCCTGATAATGTAATTCCTGATACGAATGCTAGGAAACAAGAAAAAGAAATTGAGATTTTTTATAGTAACTTGAAGTAACTAGGTTCTCAGTAGCTTCGTGTAAGTAATTATTATGATTATGTCTTGTGTATATTAGAATAAAGAAACATACTTATTTATTGGTAGAGCCAACATCTCAAGATCTTTTATAGTATACTTGTTACCTTTTAATTGAATTCAATTAAAAAATTTAATGTTTGTAATCATTTTTTATTTCTAGAATTGAATTTTAAATGTAATTTATATATATTTCTGAGATATATTGTTTTGGGCCCAAGGTTTAAATTCAAACTCTTAGAAAGTACTAAATTACAAATCCTTAATTACAACTTGATTAGTAACTTAAAAGCCGCTTTAATTCACGTAACTATCCCATCTGCTAAAATAGAAAACAGTTGCAATATAAGAAGTCTGATTGAAGGAAAAAAAAATATTGTTCAATAATAATATAAATTATATTTTAAAGTTTTTGTCTAGATTTTTAAATTAAGATGTATTTTAATATAATATTAAAGTTTTGTTGATCAAATGATTAAGAATTTAAAATTTATTATTTTATTTTATTTAATAAAAAATAAAAATAATAGTAAGCATGCACATATTCCAAATTCAAATGATCTTCACTTAAATATATATATATATTAAAAAATAATATAAATTATATTTTGAATTTACATGTAATAACTTAAATGCTTTGGCTGGTGACATATAATAAAATATATAAAATATTAATTTTGAATAATTAAGGTATTTTCCATAATTTATATGTTTTAAAACTGAATTCTTAATTACGACCACATCAATAACTTATATTTGTGAAAAAATGAATTATTCCTCAACTTAAATCCGACCTCAAAAAATGTCAGTTTGGGCACCAACTTCGATGTCTATGCACTGAATTAGTCTGACCTGAAGGCAGAACACTTGATATTCGGTAATGATATTTTCATGAAATACGCCCTCGAAAAAGTCTGATATTACCTATCAATGATGCAATGGCAGTTCTACACGTAGGTCACCAAAGAATTGTGATGAATCACTTGAGATAACTTCGGGAAAAAAAGAAATTAAAATAAAGAAGTATATCTCTCTGGTGATGTTGTTCTATCAATGCCGATACGAATCGAATTGAAGGTGCACGTTTGTGCCAGTATTCTGAGGCAATCATTCATAAGCACATGGATAGGGAGACTCGTCACGCTGATAATTCTGCATATTTAATTTATTAATTAGCTATGTGGGTTTTTTTTTTACAAGTTTGAGTGGCTAAAGTATAGAATCTTTGGGTAAAGCTCAGATTGCTCGTGAGATAAATTAACCAAATTAAAAAAAAAAAGTAAAATGACAAATAAATTAAAAAATAATTTATTTTTTTTTTATAGAAGTAAAATGACAAATAAATTAAAAAATAAATTATTTTTTTATAAAATTTATCAGATTAAGGGTGAATTCAGGTCTTGATCATATTATACCTCATCAATTTTCAAATTATATTTTAATATAATTTAGACTAGATTCTAGATTGATCCATCAATCTGAACCGAGTGCAATAATAGTGATTGGGTTTATGTAGTTTTTTTTAGTTAAAAATAATAGTATTTTGGATAAGCATATGTGCATCCCAGATGGTGTGAAAAGGAATGGCCGCAGTAATGAACATCAAATTTGTTGATCATTTCTTGGATCGAGCAGCCAATCGGCTGAGCCACACTGACAACAAGAACATGCCAAAATGATATCAAGGGCCATGATAAGATTTTTGTTTTAAAAAAACTGCGGGTTGTATATATATATATATATATATAATGGACCCTACATATCCAAGTTATCCTCGTGGTATTTTAAAATCATCCAAGTACTAGTTGCTCCACCGTGGCAACATCGATAATTGCTACATTATTATTTTTTCCTCTATTTAATTTCTCAAACCTATAAAGGTCACTAGAGAAGAATAAACAGCTCTAACATTGAAAAACTACACTGAGCTAATTTTGTTTTTCACCCTACCAGCATTTCCTGACGGCTGATGAACAAGATCAGCATGGGCACCAATCGATTGAAGGAGATGTTCCTTCACGTTAAAAATAAAATTCGAAGAACGTCTACTCTGAATCATCATCAACTCTCACATAAGAGATCAACAAGGCTAGACGTGCCGAAAGGCCATTTTGCAATTTATGTCGGGGAGGAAGAGAAGGAAAGGAAGCGATTTGTGATCCCAGTTTCTTACTTGAAGCATCCATTGTTTCAAATCTTGTTAAGTCAAGCTGAAGAAGAGTTTGGTTTTGATCATCAAATGGGTGGTCTTACCATTCCATGCGCCGAAGATGAGTTCAGTACTGTTCTCACTTCGCTCTTGCATGGTTGATGATGAGCTAGCTAGCTAGAGCCATGTTTATATTTTGAATTATTTTTAGATATTAGCTATGTATAAATTAAATAACTAAATTAATTCCCCACCTATTTTGCTTGTTCATATATTTCTCTAGGAGCAAGAATCATCTATTTTCGGACTCCTTTTCTCATCATTTTTACCCTCCTTTGTATAGATAATTTATATATTTCTTATTTTCTGATTGGATAACATCTTTTTACGCTAAGATCAGATCAGATCATCTTTTCAATACAGATAAAGATAAATTATTAACTAGGAAGTGGAAGATTTAGCTTGACTTAGACTTTTGGATGAAATTTAAAGGCCGTCGATGAGCAAATAGAAGAGGCGTTGATGGAAATCAAGATCACATGAATGAGAAATGGTTGCCAATTATCCTCATTTCCATTTTGCATAGGGTTGGACCGTATTGTATCCGTATATAAAAATAAAAATATAATAAAAGAAAGTAAAGACTCCTTTTACTCCTATAACAGACACGGAAACAACATCAACAAAGCTTTGAAAAACAATATATATATAAATATAACATGGGATTATTCCCAAATGCTCAGATCATGAATGACCCACAAACAACATATAATAAATTCTTACTTAAATAGATTATTATTATTACAATATTATGAAAAATAACCTTTTAAACTAATTTACGATTACTGATGAGTGCTTATAAATCACAATAACCAAAACTCTAGATATAATATTAGCAACGATTAAATTTTATAATAAATCTGGTTTATGATTTTAGGTGATGAACCAGGTCGGTTTAGTGATTTATTCCGAGGCTAATATTTACAAAAAATAAATAAATCTCAAGTTCTTATAAAAACAATTTAGTGTTTTAATCTTATTGTAATTTTACTAATTCAGATATACTTATTACTAAAATTGATTTTTTATGTTTTTGTATAATTATTTATTTCATATTTATGCATAGTACTGATTTAAATATTCGCCGAGTTACTATTTTTCTCCTTATATGGTGGTTACATGTGATTTTATTTTTCCTCGTTGATAATAACAAGGGCTATCTGGGCCATTGGCCCAACTAGTCCGTCCTTAGGCCGAGCACCCCTGCAAGATGAAGGGCTATCTGGGCCATTGGCCCAACTAATCCGTCCTTAGGCCCGAGCACCCCCTGCAAGATGGCTCCCGACTCCTTAATGCTAAATATCGATGCTAAAACTTTTGCGAGAAATATTTTAATGCGGCAATACTTGCGAGAGAGGTGTTGTGTTATCTACTTTGTATTAAGTTGACAGAGACAAATAAAACACTATTATTATAAGCTATTTTAATAAAATTTGGCAAAATCTTAGTATCCTGGAATATAATATTTATACTAATAGAAAAGATTTTTTATTTGATGAAAAATATATTCTTAAACCGGCAAGTACATAGACAAAAAAAAAAATTTCTGGCATTAATAGAAAAATGAGCATCCTTTTTCATCCTGCAAGAAGAAAATGACTCAACTGATTAAAGGCAAATCTTAATTATATTAGACTTAATGTTGTCGAAACAAAAGTTCAATTGTGTGAGCAGGCCACAACGGATTGTTCATAATTTCATCTGGGCCACATTTGTAAGTTTGAAATAGCTGGACATGAGAATCTGGAAAGTAAAAGGTATCCCATAGAATGTCTAGCTAGGTAGATCTTATCCATATGCAGGATCCTTTCAATGGGGCATGCACCTACATCATGTCCTGCAACAGTGTCTTCATCGATCACTGATCATCTAAAAGGCCAAATTCAAAGTAAACTAATTTCTTTTGCCAAGAAATTTAGATATATGAATGATCATCGCAAGCTTGAAAAAGTCCAGTTTATATTTGTATGCGTGTTTATCTCTCTCTCTCTCTCTCTCTCTCTCTCTCTCTCTCTCTCTAATGATGGTTCTGTAAGTGATGTGAACGCATGCATAGAAGCTGGAATGGAGCAATTAACTATTTTGATTAACGAAGCTAAACCAGTATAGTTGAGGCAATTAAGAAAGTTTTACGATAAAGAGTGGACGTACAAATTACAGAATACATCTGTAGAACTGAAATGCAAAGCAGTGTTGAAGTAAACTCAATCCAGAAGGTTAAAGAAGGTAGCCACCAGTTGTCACCGTCCAGCCACCAACCGACCAGCCACCAGCCGCCAGCTGCATGCCGCCAGCCACCGGCCGCCAGCCGCTTTCACACCGTCGGCCACAAACCGCCTTCACACTTGAAGGTTGA